GTAATTATTAATATTTAATGTTAAGTGTGAGAAGTACAAGTAAGCGTGCTCTACGTTATTTCTGAGATACTTTTAGGTAATTAAAATTAAGCTACTTGAGTACATAGAGGAGGCACCAAGGGTTTTTAAGTTCTTTATTTATTTCATATTTATTTGCTTATATAAACAGCTTTTCTAGGTACCCACCCAATCAATGAATAACAAAATATAGGTTCGCATTTTTTGTCGCAGTGCCCTGGCAAATATGTGCATAGTTATGTAACATCCGATTGATAGAACCCACTTAATGTAGGCGTTGCCGATTACAGCTAAGGAAGTGCGCTTATCGCTGGCAGGGTGATGGAAAAACGCCGAGAACAGAGAGAAAAGATAGGAGAGTAGCGGGAAAGGCAAACTGTGGCCGATAGCAAAGTGTCGCAAAATGTTGCAAAAGCAATTAGCACAGGCAACGGGCCAAATGCAATCAATCAACTGCAAATGCAGTTAGGCCACAGATTTTGTCGTTAGCCATAATTCAATCACCTTAAATTGATGCAAACAACTCGCTTAACGTTAATTTCAATTTGCCCATCATTTTAAGGTGAAATTTAATTAAATTTTCATTCATTGCCTTGCTGCCGTTCGTATGTGTGCTAGTTCGTATTTGTGCTGGCCTAATTGACTCAGGCTAAGCAAGCTAAAGGCCAGGATTTGCATTCCCTTTTGTCTGGCCAAAATATGTTGCATATGGGAAGGAACTTGCGGCTTTGTGCGCAATTAAGTGGCAACAAGACGTGCAGCTGGACTTTGTGAATTCATGGAAAATTAAGCGAGCCGCAGAATGTTTTAGTTTCTGGGCACTCTTCCCATGAAGGTGGTTAAAAAAAAACAAGAAAATTTAGATACCTACTGGGAAAAATGGCTGACGTTAATAGAGCTGTAAATACTCTTACGTAATTGTACACTTATAATAAAGGAAATATAATCAGATCCTGGTGTTTGGCAGTTTACAAATAAATCTTTTTCATCCGAATATCTTTTTCATCTTTTATAAAAGCCAAACATTTTTATTACGATAAAAATGGAAATGGCAGATATTATCAGTCAATAAAAACAATTTTCTATACGGCTTGGTGTTCGATTACGATATTTTATTAAATACCCACTTATTTATTCAGTTGTTTTGTTTCACCTGCCCACTTTTATACGCTCATTAAACTTCAGTTGAATATGAAAATGTAGCCTGTGCAAGGGTATAAAAAGTGGGGGCTTAAAACTATTTGGAGCGTTTATGTGGCGCACTCACACATGAGCCATCAAATGAAGTTGCACTGGGGAACTACCTCTACTTCCACCTCGTTGTTAACCAAAAATGAAACAGTTACCGCATCCGCATTTTGTTGCGTTTTTGCTGGCAGCTTTTGGGCAATGTCCAGGCCATGTGACTAGGATATTCGGATATTCGGATGCAAGGATGCTCGGATGTTGCCATTGCAGTTTGTGCTCGTCCGTCTAGTGGTGTTTTGACTGCTCTTTTGATGCTTTTTTATGAGTGCGCTCTCGGGTTTTTTGTATTTCGCTATTTTGCAACAAAATGAACTTGCGCAGCGCATTGCTACTGCCATAAAATGAACTAAATTGAGTTGAAAATGTTTTGCACACCGCCCCGCCTCCGTTCCGAACTTCCTCTACGGTCTAAACCATCCCTGCATTTCATGGCTACAGTGTGGAATTAAAGCTGCATCCCGATGCCCCGGGGCATTCAGACGGCTTACAGTGCTGACAATAAGTGTATTTACCATGCATATGCGTTTTAATTATACACACACACACCCACACACACAAACACAATCAAAAGGAGACAACCTCTGGGTGTGGGGCCATTGTGTTGTCTTGTGCAAATGAAATGGTAACCGCTTTGGCTAAGCATTTTGGCTTACTCCCCACACTCCACTCCCCTGCCATGCTCCACCATGCACTTCCTATTCTTCTTTGGCTTTCTCAGCCACACCCCCTGCCGCCCTTTTCACATTCAGTTTGCAGCACAGGTGCAGACGTCTAGACGGCTTTCGAGTGCTTAGAGCCGACGTGAATTTCTCATAATTAGCAGAGCACTGAAATAACTGGGAATTTTCGCGAGGGAAATTCTGGATGGGCATTGCAAGCAGGGAAATTAACTGAGTGGTTTGCTTTTATTTTACTCAAAATAAATATAAAATATATTTATTTCAAGAGTGTCTTGATGGTATTCCTTAAGCTAAGTTTTCTACATTTGGCTTTTATTCTACGAACTTAATTTTTCGGGGACCAACTCCCAGTAGACGTCTTCTTTATTTTTTATTTCCATTTCTGCCGATTAATGTGCTCTCCCCTTTTTCTCACATCCTTGCAATCTCTTTATTGTCTAGACTCTTCTTGGAATGCTTAGCTGAAAAAGAGCTGAGAATTATCAAAGGAAATTTGGGTTTTGCTAGTTTAAAGGCCATTTGCATAGCCAGCTGGATGAACTTAAAAGCAGCTGCAGGGCATTGATTCGACATGAAAGCCTTGAGTACACTTTCCAGTTTGTGTGTCATCTTTTGCGACAAATTTGGAATATACCTTAACATTTCAAAGGTAAATGTCAGCCAGGGGCCCGTGCACCTGCAACTGACATGCCGTGTATATTTGCGTATACTCTATGTATATATGTACCTATACGTTTGCATATGTGGTACCTACATCTGCCCGGGGCACGGTCAAATGGGCGGCTTGAGTGGGTGGCACAACATTAAATGTACAATATGCTCATTGCAATCCCTTCGACTTCCCCTCGTGGCCAGCACTCGCATTTGATTTGATAATAACGTTTTCGGAAATGTCATTTTCTCCCTTCCAGAAATTGATTTGACTGCCTCATCTTGGCGCTTTTCGATCCGTTTTGCCACGTGGGGTTGGTCGTAAAAGCCAAACGCATATTTATGAAGAGCATAAAAATTATTGACATATATGGCGGAGTCATAAATGCTCATACCCATAAGCACTCTCCTACTCCGCCCAGTGAAAATCCCCAAAGAAAATTGCCAAGCTAAAAAAAAGGAATATAAAATTTGCCGTTTGTTGTTATTTTTTTTTACGTTACTCAAAGGCAGCTCGTAAATGCAATTTGATTTTGATTGGACTTGGATTAAAAGCAAATAAAGTTCACATCTTAAATGTCAAATTTGAAAAGGATTTTACAGTTGCCTCTGGGTAAACTTTAGCCAAAACGGTGGGGAATTTCGAGTTACAAATATGGTGATATATTTTACAAAAGTCGTATAAAGAAATTTTTAGAATCAGCTACTTAGTGTAAATTGTGTGGATATAGAGACTGTTATCTTGATATTCGGAACATTAGTAAACGCAACTTAAAATGCAAATTTCCATTTATTTTTACCAACAACTTAAAAGGCTTTCTTCACCCAGTCAGACAAAGTGCAAAAACGAATTGGACGACCTCGTTTCGCTCGAGTTCTTTAGTGCCATCAATTTTATGTTAATATTTGCCATATTTTTATTGGCTTAATCCAGTCATGAAATGGTGGCAATATGTTTTTACTGGCTGCCGATGACAATTGGCCCCATAAACAATTTCGCAAATGGCTGTGCGCCGGAGAGATTTAACCATTTCCGCAGACTCCATGAAACATTTATAGTTTTCTGGCTCTGGCTCAAAGGCCAAATATCGAATATGGACTCCAGAGCTCGCAAATCAATGCGGTCAATTAAGTGGCGTATATGCAAATTATTTATTAGTTAATTCTACCCGTTCTTTCTGAGCCTTAAAGAGTATGTTTTTCTCGCTTGAAGATGCGAGAAAAAAAAAACTTTCTAAAGGCTGTGCCAAAAAAAAAAGGCAAAGGGAAAACTCGAAGAAAAAGCAGGAAAGTTCGACAGGCATTCACAATAAAAATATGTACAAAAGCATTTCAAGCGTACACAAGTCGACTTCCTGTTTGGCAAGGACATTCTATTCGAAATGTGCATGCAAACAAGTATACGCGTGAGTGTGTGTATCTGCGCACTTCTATTGTAGTTGGCCCAATAGGTTGCTCGTTGTTTTCCCCCCTTTCCCCAAAAAAATGTTCTCTGGAAATCGGAAATCAAAAATAGCTACATTTCTGCCGGTGGGGTCTTCGGTTTCCTTTCCGTATTTACATATCCCATTGTTGAGCATGAGCATAAATCGGATGCCAGTTTGGGTTTTGTTTGGGTTGGTTGGGCCTGGACCCGAGTTTGAGTTTTGGGTGACCTGTCCTTTGTTTGCCACATTGCTGACCTCTGTCATACTTTTGCCCATTGTCCGGCTTCTGCTGAGGGGGATAATGCCTCGGTCATCCATATTACTTGAACGACATTTGACACTTTTGGCTGCCACAGCTTCCCGTCCCCTTGCAATTCATAATTCCCATCAGCAGCTCCTTGGCGGCAAAATTAATTGCTGATGTTATTGAAGCAGTGATGAGTGACAGCCGGCAAATACAAATTAGTTTAATTAAAGAATTGTGTGCTCAGCATTTAGCAATAGCCACATAGTAACCACACATGTACATACACATCATCCCGCTGGGCAAACAATTTGCAGACAAAGCGACGTCACTGAAATTAACATAATACAATACTTATAATTAATGACTCTTGTTTGTCGTGGAGCTTTGGAAAGGCATTTCGTGTCCTAAACCCTCCTTATTTTCTGCTTTGCCACGCGGAAAACTTTAATGTAAATAAACAGGACCATTTTCAAGCGCCGTCTCTTTCTTTTTTTGCACAAAAACGCCGTTTGATTGAAATGGGATATCTGTATCTGTATCTTTGGGTCCCCGACTGGGCTTCGTGCTCCTGTTTGTCCGTTGGCCAAAACTGTCCGCCATTCTGTGCGGGAATGGAAACTTTGTTGACACTATCTAGACGCTATGTCCGGCGTCTGCAACTCGGTTCACTTAGGGAAAATTTCTTGTGCAAATATTGAGTTTACTTAACGGAAATATTTTCCTTTTCAGATCATGTGCGGGAGTTCAACTGCGGCAAGCTGTACTACCGTACATTCCATATGAACGAAGATCGAGATACGCTCTATGTGGGAGCCATGTAAGTACATATCAAACATATATGTTGGCATTTAGTTCTGTGATTCTTATATTAACACGGAGTTACAATTCAACTTCATGAAAAAGGATTTTGATTGAAAATTATTACACTAACACAATTCCTGTTAGAAACACATCCTCTTAGCTGTAACTCAATAATGCCCATCAACAGAATAACAATAAATTAAATACTTTCGTATTTCAGGGATCGCGTATTCCGTGTTAGCCTGCAGAATATCTCCTCATCCAATTGTAATGTAAGTATGGCTGCCAGGACTTCGGCTCTGGATGTGCTAAATGCCTTAAATATGATAATCCTAGAGCACGCTTTTAGGCTAAGTCCTTTCGTCGCCAAAGGTCGCCAATGGGGATGGAGGAGAATGTGGCTGGTTGTCCAGAGTCGGGCCACAAATCTAGCTGACAGTAAGGGGAAAAAATCGTGAAAAGCTTTTGGGCTAAACAACTTTGCTTGCGGCCGTTGCTGTTGGTGCTCTGTGGCATATTGTTAAAAATTCATTATACGCCACGTTGCCAGTGGTGCGAGCGGTGGGGTGTTGTTGTGTATGTGTTTGCCATAGTTTCCAAATGGCCGCTAAGCTTCTTGCAGCCTTTTGTGGCCATAAAGCGCCATCTAAACGTTGTCAGCACAATACACCGGCTTAGCAGCCTTTTAGGCGCACTTCAAATGGCAACAACGACGTCGACAGCCACAAATCTTCGATTCCCACGGCGCAGCGGCTGAAAAAAAATGTTTATTTTAGTTAACCCAAAGGTTCTGCCCCCGCCAAACTTCCAGCACGACAAAAAAAGGGGCCAAAAAGCATATTTAATATGCACTCTCTTGTCCGGACATTATGGTCCTGGCGTATTCCCCGAACTGGTTCGAATCTGCAGGCTCAGGTTTATGCGTTGCCCAGATATAAATTTTTGGGAGGCGCCACATACGCGAACTTGCCACAACATTTGCGAGGCAATTCGATTACAGGAAGTGCTACCCCGTGTCTTGGGTTTCCAGCTTGGGCTCGGCCTCAGTCTCGGGCTCGGTTCTGGGCTGTTTATGAATTTATGACTTGCAAAAGTTTGTTTTATGAGCGCCACACACCTGACTTGGTGTGCTCCTCACAGGACGCGTCCTCTATTGCACACCATACCATTTCCATTCCATTTCCAGCCCTGCAACGCATCTCCGAGCCGAATCGTAAAAGTCTAAGAGGTTATATTATCTTGTAGCATGCTCGCCAGCCAGGATACGTCAATATATTTTATGCGGTTAAGTGCGAATACATTCGCCGTGGGCATCATTTGGTTCTGGCCTATACACATGGAGCTACACTGTGCAAAATGCGGGCAAGAAAGCTTTGAGACTGGAAGCTCCATCAATAGTCAATAGTTAAATACCCGAACTTGCTATATGTTCATATAGGGATACTTTATCAATTTCTTCCTTATTTAGTTTCTCATAGTTTAACCTTCTTGATTTTGGCGCAGTGCATCCGTGCGCCTCGTTCGCTCCCAACTCCTCCACCTGTTCCTCCTCCGGCGTCTCTGCTCCTCGTAGCACTGCTCCCGCTGCTTTATGCGCCAAATGCAAATTCAGCTAAATAATACATGATTTTGGTTTTATATGAACGCTCTGCTGCGACTGCCTGCCTCCCAGGTGGGCGGGGGTAGGTGGTTGGGTGGCTGGGTGGTTGGGTTGGAAGCCCGTTTGGTGAAGGTGGCTTGGCTGCTGGGTGGGTGGTGGCCTGTGGGTGGCTGCGACGGCAATGGAGCAATGGAGGTTGGTGCGTGAAAATATTTCGTGTGTGCTTGGGTAACATTACGTGATTTATAAATAAATTTAGTTGAAAGCATTCTGAAGGTGCCACGGACGAACGCTAGTTGTAGTTTATGCCGCATGCGGCAGACGCAGCCTCTCCCTTCAGCATTTGCAATATACAATTTTTGTATTTCGGCTTTTTTGAGTAAATTGAATTTTTGAATTGATAGAAGCCACGGCACGTGAGCTTTTAACCTAATGGTTAATGGTTGCCAGGTGCACGCGTTTTGATTTGGTATATATTTAGCTAATTTATCCTGGGTGTTCTCTTCCTTCCAGCGGGATGTGATCAACTTGGAGCCAACACGGGATGATGTGGTTAGCTGCGTCTCCAAAGGAAAAAGTCAGGTGAGTACAAAACTTAAAACTTAAATTTTATATATTAATTCTCCAAAAGGAAACCTTATTACAAGCATCCTTTATCGATTTTTGTACACAAAATTCCAAAGGAGATTCCTTAAATTGTTGTCTTGCAACTCACTAAGTTTTCAAACAACAATTCTTAAATTATTTTCACCCGAAATTTAGACCCACTTACCCAATGTACTTCAGTGGCAGATGAAATTCATAAAAACGCTTTTTTTTTATCCTGATTTCATAATAAATTTTCCGAATATCTTACCCACAATTGTTTTACCTTCTCCTGTTAAATTCCTCTGTGCATCTGCAACTACTTTATGTATTCTACATATATACTCTCAAATAAATCACATCCCTGTGGAGGTATTTCAGTAACTCGATTGCAGTTTAAAACCAAGAAAATCCCATCGACTGGCAATGTGGCAGACGCTTCTGTTGCAACTCGTTTATAATGTGACAGCAAATCCTTTCATTCGAAATCAATTTCAAGTTATTCGTGGCAGGAGCAGCAGCAGCAGCAGCAGCAGCATGTTGCATGTTGCACACACACGAGCAACATGGGGGCCACATGGGCATCCTGCTTAAGTCATCATAAAGCTGCCTGTGTGCCACTGGTGCGCTGGCAGTAATTTCTGCAGCGTTTCGTTGCATTGTTGCCAATTGATTTAGCTTCGGCAGCGACGCGTGCTATTGCAATTTGTCCACATTTCTGCCACAAATTCGCTGCAGCATTACGGAACACACTCGAAACTATTTCGATTTCGCTGTGTTTGGGGAGCAAAACAGATGATGCCGTTCGCAGTACCATAAATGGAAAAAGAACGACCACAACATTGTCATCCCGGCGTTCTTTTGTTTTTCATGTATCTTCGCCTCTATAATCGATATGTGTTTTTGCAGATATTCGACTGCAAGAACCATGTGCGTGTCATCCAGTCAATGGACCAGGGGGATAGGCTCTATGTGTGCGGCACCAACGCCCACAATCCCAAGGATTATGTTATCTACGTAAGTTGGCCAGATTGGGAAGCCATTCGCCATTCGCCATACGCCATATGCCTTTTGCCATTTACCATTGCCATCCACCATTCATGTCGCCCATGAAAAGATTGCCACCGACAGTTGACTTTAGATGCCAATCAACAGTTGCTCATTCAGCCTTTGACATCTGTTCATAGATAAAGCACCTAAACTAAAGTCAAACACTCGAAGGGGAATCTTTTGTGCTCAGCATTTCACTTATTCACCCTTTTCTCCATCCTTAAGGCGAATCTTACCCACCTGCCGCGCTCGGAATATGTGATTGGCGTGGGTCTGGGCATTGCCAAGTGCCCCTACGATCCCCTCGACAACTCAACTGCGATTTATGTGGAGAATGGCAATCCGGGTGGTCTGCCCGGCCTGGTAAGCAAATTGCTCGCATAAACTAAAACTTTCTCGGACCTTAACTGAGGCTGTAAATTGCTCCTCCGCAGTACTCCGGCACCAATGCGGAGTTCACCAAGGCGGATACGGTTATTTTCCGCACTGATCTGTATAATACTTCGGCTAAACGCTTGGAATATAAATTCAAGAGGACTCTGAAATACGACTCCAAGTGGTTGGACAGTAAGTATGAAATAAGCATATTCTTCTGAGTACAATTTACTTTTGCACTTTTATGGAGATGTAAGTAATGGGCTAAGCACATTAAACGATTCGAAAGAATTTTATTTACTCCTATTTATTAGTCCTCGCTAACGTTCAATTTTCGTTTTTCCATTTCACAGAACCAAACTTTGTCGGGTCCTTCGACATCGGGGAGTACGTGTACTTCTTTTTCAGAGAAACCGCTGTGGAATACATCAACTGCGGCAAGGCCGTCTATTCACGCATTGCACGAGTGTGCAAGAAGGATGTGGGTGGAAAGAATCTGCTAGCCCACAACTGGGCCACCTACCTGAAGGCCAGACTCAATTGCAGCATCTCCGGCGAATTTCCGTTCTATTTCAACGAGATCCAATCGGTCTACCAGCTGCCCTCCGATAAGAGCCGATTCTTCGCCACATTCACGACGAGCACTAATGGCCTGATTGGATCTGCCGTATGCAGTTTCCACATTAACGAGATTCAGGCTGCCTTCAATGGTAAGCCCGCCGCCTTTCGGGGCGATCCGCACATCCCGTTGACATGCAATTTTCCGTGCTCGTCCATTGTCCCCCAAGTGGATTGGGTGGCACTGACTTGAAATTGGAAACGGAAACGAGAATGGAAATGGCGCATGCAACTTATTGGCAAATTTTATTTGCTACCTATACATTTGTTTTATCCATTCGATAGTTCGCTGCCCCACTGTGTGTTGAGTGTTTTGTAATTTCAGTCCAGTTCAGTTCAGTTCAGTTGGGTTCCGTTCGATTCGTTGCCGTGCGCAACATAAATCGCATTAGAAAATCCATTTGAATGGATTATGGCCACACACACTCACACTTACTTGGTGGCTCTTTTTATTTTCCACCGGCTGACAGCTTAGAGGAGAACCAGCTGACACCTTTGGTCGTAGATTTAAGTCTTCAATTGCAGCTCAGCACCGAGAGCTTGATAAACTTTTTTCCATTCCCTGCCATCTCATATGAGCAATTGTTTTTGTGCTCTTTTACTTTTTATCCCGCGCGCACAGGCAAATTCAAGGAGCAATCTTCATCGAATTCCGCATGGCTGCCGGTGCTTAACTCCCGGGTGCCGGAACCACGGCCGGGTACATGTGTCAACGATACATCAAACCTGCCCGATACCGTGCTGAATTTCATCAGATCCCATCCACTTATGGACAAAGCCGTAAATCACGAGCACAACAATCCAGTATATTATAAAAGGGATTTGGTCTTCACCAAGCTCGTCGTTGACAAGTGAGTTGGAAACAAATATATTTTCTATTTGCACGTGTGACTGTTTGTTTTACTAGTTTAATCCGTTCGTAATTCAGAAATGTAAGCGAGAAAAATATAGTAACATTTTGGCGGAATATTCCCCAATTCAATTCAACTTTTAAATGACATTTAGTACCACAGATGCAAATTGTAAGCTCATTAAAAAGAATGCATTTATAATGAAAACATTCTACTTTATCACGTAATCCGCTTTTAAAATACAAGGTTAATTCAAGCCTCCTCATATGCATATTAAACATCCTTTTTCAGAATCCGCATTGACATCCTCAATCAGGAATACATTGTGTACTATGTGGGCACCAATCTGGGTCGCATTTACAAAATCGTACAGTATTACCGCAACGGAGAGTCGCTGTCCAAGCTGCTGGATATCTTCGAGGTGGCTCCCAACGAGGCCATCCAAGTGATGGAAATCAGCCAGACACGTAAGAGCCTCTACATTGGCACCGATCATCGCATCAAGCAAATCGACCTGGCCATGTGCAATCGCCGTTACGACAACTGCTTCCGCTGCGTCCGTGATCCCTACTGCGGCTGGGATAAGGAGGCCAATACGTGCCGACCATACGAGCTGGATTTACTGCAGGTGGGTGATTTAAAGCCAACACACGAGTGTATGCTATTAAGTTCAGCAAACAAGTGGCAAGCCAAGGCTTCCATATCAACTTAATATGTAAGGATACCACAAACCCATCTCCATATTATTTCAATTGACTCAAAATCAAAGCTGAAACGGATGGACTAATTTCACTTTTCCATCTGCAGGATGTGGCCAATGAAACGAGCGACATTTGCGATTCGAGTGTGCTGAAAAAGAAGATTGTGGTGACCTATGGCCAGAGTGTTCATCTGGGCTGTTTCGTCAAAATCCCCGAAGTGCTGAAGAATGAACAGGTGACCTGGTACCATCACTCCAAGGACAAGGGACGGTGAGTGGAATTTATTATTTGCTTTGATTCACCGACAACCAATCGCCTGTATTTCTTTAACAGCTACGAGATTCGTTACTCGCCGACCAAGTACATTGAGACCACCGAACGTGGCCTGGTTGTGGTTTCCGTAAACGAAGCCGATGGTGGTCGGTACGATTGCCATTTGGGCGGCTCGCTTTTGTGCAGCTACAATATTACGGTGGATGCCCACAGGTAAGCCAATACACTCTGTTGATATTAAAGTCTAACTCACAACCACCACACTATATTACTCTAAGGCGTTTTATTGCCTGAGCTACAGTTTCAGTGAATACAAGTTTAATGCATTTAGCTTTATTGATTAGCATAGTGAACCCACTACTACTCAATTACACATAGATAATAATAACTCGGAAACAATGTTTTATTTTGGAACAGATGCACTCCGCCGAACAAGAGTAATGACTATCAGAAAATCTACTCGGACTGGTGCCACGAGTTCGAAAAGTACAAAACAGCAATGAAGTCCTGGGAAAAGAAGCAAGCGGTAAGTGATAATGAGGGCCAACACCCTATGGGGTGGATTTGTGGTAAAATGAGGTTGGTGTAATGGTGGAATGGTGGTGTTGGTGGTTCCGGTGGGCCGGGGCAGACACACACCATAATAAACGATTTGAATGGCAATTATTTTAATAGCCTTCGAGCCGGGCGGCTGTCCAAGCTGACACCGCAGCGTCAAATCAAAGGGAAAATAATAATAAAAGCGGTGTAAGGTAGTTAAGTTGTCATTATCCAAGGAGCCCACCTGTGGTGTGACCCAAATGCAAGGTAATTGCCCACCTGGGTGGGAGATGCAATGGAAATGTAATTAAAATGCAATCACTTTGGGGTGTATAAGTACCCTCGCAATCATATTTACTAATTGTGTGTGTCTTATGTCCTTCTTTTTACGATCCCTTCCAGCAATGCTCGACACGGCAGAACTTCAGCAGCAATCAGCATCCGAATGAGATTTTCCGCAAGCCCAATGTCTGATATCACGAACAGAGTATCGCCCTCAAAATGCCGTCATCGTCCAATCAGTTTTAGTAAATCAAAAGCGAAGAGGATAATTACAGTGCGGAATAGGAAGTCCAGCAGGGAGAAAGGACGAGAAGAACTCATTATAATCATTATTATCAGCGACATCATCATAGACATACTTTCTTCAGCAATGAACAGAAAACTCTTCCTAAAGGATTATGCATTTACCGAGGCATTTTCAATGCATCCATTGACTTAGACTTAGACATTAGGGTATTATCGCATGACACAGCTCCTCCCATACGGTGCAATTGACCGACCTAAATCCATTCGCATTAAATACAATAACAAAAGCCACGACCCATAGTTAGTTACGACAATTGAACAATGGAGATACTTAAACAACTGCCGCAGAATCGCACATTCATATCGTTAATTGAATCTAGACTTTGATCAGTTTCAGCATAACAACGTATATAAGCATATATCCAAACTTTGAACTTTCAAGGCTTACTTATAAATATGGCAACCTAAATGTAATCGAAGAAGCAATGTGATGTTAAGTTTTGATAAATTTATTAACAGCCTAACTACATAATCGCGATGAACTCGGTTTAAATGTACTATAGCGACGCAATTATAAAGATTGTACACATGCATGCACCCCATACGGATATATGAATCAGCCCTAAATCGAATCTAATTCTAAACTTACAGGAGCGATCCTTAGATAAACCTCAATCACAAGCAATACTCGCCTAACGTGCATCTACATAAATAACTCGAATCGGTCCATAGCTTATATACTACACGATATCTAACAGTGTTCAGTTATATGTAATATGTATGTGTACTCAAATGCCAGTTTATATTATTGTAAAACCCATTCCCATCTTGCCCACAAAACAATTTCGATGGAAAAAAGTATTTCGATTATGATTTTTAGTGACTTGCACTCTCTTCAGACTAAATGTACTTAAGGTAATCTGCAAAATCTTTAGTTCTTAAGCGTTTAGTTATAATAAAATGAGACAAAAACCATTTTAATAAAAAATATCTAAAATTAAAAACAATGTTCGTGTTATTTACTGCATAGATGTTTTTTTCTATTGCTTTACATTTTTTTTCAAATCTTAAACCTATGCTATCATTGGCTGTCCTTATGTAAGGACATGATAGGCAGGTATGCAAACACTTAGGAATAATAGAATGTGAATCAAAGGTGTGAGAAGTCCTGTCCAAATAATAATTTCAATTTCATTGCATTTCAGCTTATCTCTGAACACATTGCATAATTCCAGCCGAGTGCGCAAAGACAAATGTTAATTTTAAATCAAATACTTTGAACTATTCAACTTGGACAAATATTTTATAACGAGGACACCCAAGCCGGACATCGGGCAAAGTTAGCCGCCCCCGTCTGCGTGTGTGTGTATGTGTGTGTGGGAGTATCTGTGTGTTGTTAGCCAGGTTGTTGGAGACAAAGTTTGTCGTGCTTGGGACTTCGGCCTTTCGGTCAGGTCAAGCGCAAAGGCGAGAAATAACCAAATTTCCAATTTGGTTTTCGGGCTGTGTGTTTGCCGACCCTTCGGTTCACCTTGCTGAAAGCCAAAAGGCAAACATTTGAGCTGTGTGTGTGTGTGTGTGTTGGCAGGGAAAAGATTTGCATATTTCTGCGCCGGGGCAACATTAAATTGAATTCCATATTCAAATAGTCGAGAGATAAGCGTGAGCATACTTTCCAATTATAGATGGCCTGCCCGCAGACAAATAGAATTAAAGTGCAACATTTTTGCATAATATCTTGCTTGTAAAATGCGCCTGCTGCCGGCGACTGTTCGCACCTTAATTAGTTATGCAGCACCAAAAATTAAGCTTAATTAGCGTTGACTCACTGGTTTGGAAAATTAATTATTTCCACTCGCCGTTATTATTATCGCTGTGCACTTGGCCGAAGCATCAGGGCCCAGCTTCCGGACCCGCTTGTTGACTACTTAATTGAAATTCATATGATTTTTTCCTTTTTTTGCTTTGCACTCTCCTCCACTTTTGTCATTATCATTTAAATAGCGTTGAGGGTGCTATAATCCTGGCCAGAACGCTGGGAGTTGGGGTCGTTGGTCGCTGGTCGCTGGTGGTCGTTGACAGGATTCCTTGCGAGGCTCAAACTCGCTGCTTGGGTCTGTTGTTTAAATGAAATTAATGCATATTAGTGGGCTTCGGTTGAGCCATTTAACGGCGAGATGAAATTAAATTATATTACCCCAGCTTAAACAAAACTAAGCATACTTCAAGTTGAACTATGACCCCTCATTCATCAAAAATACGATAAATACTTAAGAAACTAGAAAAACTATTTTTTATAACAGAACTTTTAATTTTTGTATTCCACATGTTAAGAGCTAGTGGTAATGATGCAGCAGTAATTAATTAAATTTTTAAATTCACGGGACTCTCCTGAATTCCAAAGCCAGCTTGTTCGCAAATTTACCTTTTATACGAATACATGAAAATAACCGATCTAGGTAATCCATGATTTCCGGCTAAGGAGCTGTCAATCCAAGTCACGGGCTCGGTTCTAGGAAAAGTTCAGTTTAATTTAGCATGTCGTACGGGTCACAGATGAGCTGGCAATAGAAATACGAAACAAAATTCTCAGTGTTAACAAAAAATCGTAGAAAAATACGCGTGACCAAAATTTTGAAGTTACGTGGCTCGGTGACCAAAAATCATAGAAACATTGCGAGTTGGACAAAATTCTCTCCCGTGTTCCATTATAATTCTCAATTTGATTGATACTGAAGAATGCCTTCGTACAAGGATATGTCTTTGGTGCGCGCTGGCCTGCGGCTGGTGGGTCAAAATGGTTGTGGCAAATCTGTGGTACCGGCATATCGCCGCTATGCGACTTCCTGCAAGAGTCCCAAGGGCGTTGTGGTGGGAGTTTACTCCAAGGATGGCGACAAGCCACCGAAGACCACCGCAAATGCAGTGTCCTTGGACGATGCGCTGGGTGGCAAGCTGTTGACCCTGATCCGCGAACGTGGAATGGACGGAACTCCCGGAAAGGGGCTGCTCTTCAGTGGCTTCGAGGGCGAATACCAGGCGGTTGCCGTCGTCGGAGTTGGCAAACAGGGAGCAGCGTACAACGAAAACGAGGAGCTGGACGAGGGCATGGAGAATGTGCGAGTGGCGGCGGGCACTGGAGCCCGGGCCCTGCAGCTCCAGGGCATGTACGAGGTCCACGTGGACGCCATGGACTATCCGGAGCAGGCGGCCGAGGGAGCCGCGCTGGCCGTGTGGCGCTACAATGCCAACAAGAGGAAGAAGAACCGCATTCAGACCCCCAAGCTGGATATGTACGGCAAGGGCGACCGGGATGCCTGGGTGCGTGGCCTGTTCAAAGCGGAATCGCAGAATCTGGCCAGGCGTTTGTCCGACACGCCTGCCAACATGATGACGCCCTCGATATTCGCACAGGCCGCCGTGGACGCCCTGTGCCCCTGCGGTGTTTCCGTGGAGGTGCGTTCCATGGACTGGATCGAGGACATGAACCTCAACTCCTTCCTGATGATCGCCAAGGGATCGTGTGAGCCACCTCTGCTGCTGGAGTGCAGCTACTGCGGCACCACGCCCGAGGACCGACCCGTTTTGCTGCTCGGCCAGGGTCTGACCTTCCACAGTGGTGGCTTGTGCCTGAAGCCCAAGAAGGGTATGGACCAGTATCGCGGTGCCATGGCCGGAGCTGCTGTTTGTGTGGGTGTTCTCCGTGCCGCCGCCGCCCTGTCGCTCCCGATGAACATCACGGCCGTGATGCCGCTCTGCGAGCACATGCCCTCTGGAATGGCCGTGAAGTGCGGCGATGTGGTGACCCTGCTCAATGGCACCACAATGGGCATCAAGAACGTGGACAAGGCACCGGTGGTGCAACTGGCCGATCCGCTGCTCTACGCCCAGGCGACGTACAAGCCCAAACTGGTCATCGATATCGGCACCGTGGCCATGGGTGTTAACTATGCCGTCGGCGGCGGCGCCAGCGGCTTGTGGACCACCTCCAAGTCGGTGTGGCAAAACTTCCGCAAGTCCGGCGGTCTCACTGGCGATCGCGTCTGGCGTTTCCCGCTGTTCAAGTACTACAAGCAGATCGTGAACAAGAACATCACCTACGATCTGTGCAACACGGGCAGAGGTCCTGCCAGCTCCTGCTTGGCGGCCGCCATCCTGCACACCCTGGTACCCTGCGCCGAGTGGGCCCATCTGGACATCCGTGGCACCGGCATGCTCACCAGGATTAACACCAGGCCGTACCTCCTGAAGGACTCGATGACCGGACGCCCGACGCGCACAGTTATCCAGTTCATGTACCAGATGGCCTGCTCTGGCTAGTAGAATCCTTGCCATGTGGACACCTTGCTTGTGGGCCTGCATGTGGGCCCATGTATTCGATATTTGATTCTTTGGTACAGTGTTTGCACAGAAACACATCCTAGCCTGGATGAGGCATCCTCGTAAATGTGCACTTTAATATCGTTGGCAATAAATTGTATAAACTATGAGAATTTCAAGTTGTAAATTAGGTATTTGATATAAAAAATTATAACGTAGTACCAAATATGCAAGATGCTAGATGCCTAAACTCAATTCTCCGACTAAAGTATTTAATCAAGCAAATATTGAAACTTGAGTAATTTGACGTCGGTTTCGAGCAGCTACCTTTGGAACCTGTCGAATCGAAATTTGATTTCCAATCGCATAAATATGGTCTGATTTTCCAACTCGATTGATGGCAGCATTGCGGATTTTCCTGGCTTTGATGTGCGATGTTATTATGTTGACTATAAAATATTTACCTTTTGACTGGAGTGACGGGAAAATTGCCTTTGAAGTCTGAGGTGCGGGGGTGCCAATCAATGGAATTCGGCAAATGGCATTATGAGGTTGACTTGATTGTCCACATATACTTATTCATACGGTTGCACGAAGCACTTACGTGCCAGCATTTATCCGGCAACATGTTATTGCTAATTGCAAACGGAGAACGAAATGGCAAATGTGTCTCTCAATATTTAATTGGTCCCTGCCAGGATTAGATGCTCAACGGCGTCCTTTTCGTCCTGCCAAGGACCAGGTGAACATGAGCATTTGACTGCAAGCCATGTAACTGCAGTTGGCAAATGTTGGCAAAACGATGCTGTTTTATGCGTGTGTGTGTTTGTGCCTTTGACTCGGATTGTTTGCGGGCGTTTGGCCAGTCAAATTTAATTTTGCCCCCTCGAATGCGGAATGGCATACTTCTGGATTATATATTACACACACACGCACACACACACACACACACACAGTGTCCCTGGGGCCTCGGTTCAGAACCTTAGCACTGCACTTAACGCATACAGCTGCGCACAATGTCCTATTTGCCCA